GTATTCATCATCATTATTGCTACACCAAAATCAGGAAAGAAATCTGCAATTTTAAACTGACCTAAACCTTGACTTTTTTAAAAAATGTACATATTTGGAAAATGATCATTTTTACACATTAGTATCTATACATGTACACAGTCATATATGCACACGTTGGTTTAGCTCCCATAGTAAAAGTTATCGGAAGTTGATATGTGCTCCATTTTGCATTTGTTAAGAAGCTATTTCTCCGTGATGGCAGACTTTAATCAAGTATGGTATACAAAAGGTATTGGCATGAAAAAGCAGTACTCTTGTTCCTTATTGGCAAAAAAGGCTCATCTCCAAATTTAATTACATAGCAATAATAACACAAATGGGATTTCCTTGGAAAGAAGGATTATCCCCTTTAAAACAATTGCTCCATCTTTTACTAAATACGCCCACCCAACCCCAGAACATACAACATGAAGACACAAATGCAAGTCCTGCTCACAAACGAAATGCTCTACTATTTTTAAACTGTAGTATTATACATGAGGAAATGTAACAAAGATTTTATGAAGTTAATTCTCAGACTGTAGATAGGAGTTGCTAGGATTAACTGACTTCCCAACCAATCCTGAATGTAGAGAACTAGACACCAGAGAAGGTTTTAAGCAAACCTACATAGCTAGTGTTTTAGATTGAACAATTTTGTTTTAACAAAGGAAAATGGTAATTAGGATTTATTTCAGCACATTGGAATTCTGAAAAAAGTGACTAAAGTCAGAACGTCATTCTGGTCCCAGTGATGGAAGGAGGTACAAAGCAAGATGTTTTCTGTTTGGAAGGAGAAGGAAAGAAATCAAAAAGTTTAGAGATATGGAAAGGCACAGTCTCCATTCCTGATTAAACTGCTTTCTCATTTGATGAGAGATTGTAAAAGAATGCCCCATCGATCAACCAGAGATTTCAAAAAGGAGCAGGAAAAATAATGGAATTTTGCAAGTACAAATAGGAAAAAACAGGCAAGGCATATTACTAACAAAGGCAAGAAAGAGTTTTGATCGTTTGACACAGCATCATACCCTGGTCGTATTAAAGAAAGCAAATTGTACCCTGTTCTCAACACAATGCAAATAGGAGTTTCATTCTGCAGGAGATAGGCATTTTGGCATGTAACTAAGAGAACAGTCATGGGCCCCTCCCATTGTTTTACCCATGAGAAGCCATTGCTAAAGTTTATACCTATTGCTGCAGTCATTTACTATTTTGAGGTCCTGAGGTACATACACATGCTTGGCATAATAAACAGATTTGGCTCTATTGTCTAAAAAGGATATTGACATCCTCAGTGTCAGAAAAAACTTGAATTTGAACTATTTGGGGAAAGAGCTTGTGCAAATTATAGGAATTATACCTTGTCTCAGATCCCTTTTCCTAAAAAGAGCAGTTTCGAGTTAAGACGAAGCATGTGAAACCTGGTCACCAATTCAAATCATGTTTGGTGCTTTCTCAACTATGCTCTGTAGTTCTCTGATGAAAATAATCTCTTGGAAAACGAAATAAGCTTTGGGAATATTAACTGAAGCACTGATAGAGGTTCTATGTTCTAAATACATAATTGTGAGAAAGACACACTTCTCTGCATAAGACAGAGGTATGAGATCTCAACTTTGGACTGTTCTAAGCAAACACTACCAACAACAACCCCCCCCCCCCTGCAACACACCATATCATTCTAACATACAAGATGACATCAACAAGAATGGAAGAAGAAACAAGTCAGGTATCTACTTGACTAGAGCAAACAACATATAAACTTTCGGAAGTACTTTCTTTGTTCTGACATAAATTAGTCATGAAGGGTAGTTCATCATGGAATAAAAAAGTTTTTGCTGTTGGAGGGTTGTTGTTGTTTGTTTGTTTTTGGCACATCAGATAACATCAAAAAGTTAGACATGGAAAAATAAGATGAAGTGATGGCCGGCTGATAATAATGTCCAGCTAAATACAATTGTAACAAACATTCTTCTTATTTTGGAAAAAAAACATGCACTTAAGCTGACATCCAAAGTCACCAAGTACCACTCGCTTGGTTGACTCAAGGATTATATACAAAAGAGGGCTATCTTACAGTTGGTAAGAAATTCTCCCAGTAAGACAAAGCTGGTGCACTGCAAAAGAGTTTTTTGTACCATACTGGCAACAAAATTGTTGCAACAAAAGGCAGATATGTTTACATATGGCTTGGATTGCTGTTACTCCTTGGATTTAATTCTTTGCAGAGATCTTCACTGGACTTAGCTAGACACATTAGTAAAGATGGATGGACTGGCTTTCTTTGCATTTTTCTCACTTAAAATTGTATGCATTGCCAGCTAGGTTTCCAAAGACTGCCCCAAAGCCACTTCTAATTTCTGGTCTCCATAGGAAAGGAGCTGTTTCTTGGACTGTAGGCTTGGGATCTCAGCTGTCAAAACACTCATTCTAGAGAATGAGATCAGCAATACAAAATATATGACTCACAAGTTTCGTGAAGGAAAAAATTGTTAGTTCAGTCTAGTGATAACCAATATAAATATTGTTTACACAAAGTTGCTTCTCATCTGATTCTGCCAATGTGGACAGCTAAGTGTGAGTCTTGCTATGTCTGCTTCAAAAGAAACTGGGGGGGACTTTAAGTCTCTCCCATCAATATTTTTTTCTATAAATCTTGGTTTCTAGTTACAGTGTAAGAACATCTTTGAGGAAAAACATGGAGAAGTCCACATTCCACTGATGAAATGTTTCCTGTTTAAGATAGTAGTCAACTTGTGTTTTAAAACATTTCTTCGGCCTCAGCTTAAGGCCATAGCCTAACCTACAGAAAAGTCATGTAATACGAATCTAGAATGCACTGTTTGGTTTGCTCTAATGCTACTGGGACTGAACATATCTGCCTGCTCCCAGACAGTGTCTCAGGCTAGTCCTACCAGCTGTTGTTCTTACATCTGTTCCGGGATGCAGATTTCTTGGCAAATATAACAGGCATGGTGTAGCAAGCCAAGTGGAACTCCTTTCATTTTTCTCCTCTTGGTAAATGTCATTGAGCAAAATCACTATGACACTTGGTTTATAAATAGTGGCCATGTTCAGTTTGCTGCCTATCCTTTTTTTGAATAGGATGGAATAAGCCTATAACAAAGATGTAAATCAATTTCTACTGTGTATGCACAAATCTAAATGTAAGCTACATCTTGTTACTTGGATGCAAACTGCTGTGAAAATATGTTTGAATATTGGGGTCATGGAAAGTAACAAAGTAGCAAAAAAAAGAGTCTAGTAAGGTGTGAGTATCCATAAGCAAAAAGTCTTAGGGCTACACTATAAGTACATGCAGTTATGTGTACTGTAATTTTTCTAATGAGCAGAGGAACATCCCATTGTGTGTATATATAAATGTGTGTGTGTGTGTGAGAGAGAGAGAGAGTGAGTGTACAGGGATATGTGTTAGTGTTTAAAACCTTCCCGGCTATTTTCACAGTAAATATGAGAGATTCTATTTATTTTTCCCAGTGGTTAAAAAAAAATAGCTTGGGATGACATACTGGTCCAGACAATTGGCTTGGACCAGTATTCCAGTATATAGGTCCTTCTGGGTACATTACCTACATTATCAAATTGTGGAGCTAGCTACCAAATGACTTCTACCAAGCACCATCATTATATCTTCATACAGAGGCCAAAGATTTGCTAAATCATTTGGCCTTTAATGACAAGATCTAATTGGAATTAAAATTTCATTACTGTTCTGTCCTATTTTTATGCTTTTAATTTTATTTAAATTGTTGTAAAGTTTACTTTAAAAGAATGGTTAAAAATTAAAGAATTACCTTACTCTCCAGAAGTAAAAGATTAAATAATCATTTCTTCACAATCCCCTTGCCAAACTTTACATAGTACATTAGTTTTTAATGCTATTAATTTTTATTGAAAATAAGAGAACAGGATTTTAGATTTCTTATAACAGCCTCCCTCAAAGACAATACTCTTCAAATTTTTTGACCACAGTTATTACCATCCAGCTCCTGGCAGATGGGGTTTTTAATCCAAAGTTGTTGAAATACATTAGGTTGGGGGAGGAAGACTAAGAATCACTCTGAAAGGAGCCTGCATGGATTTTGCAGTGTGTTTTCTGGATCAGAGACTGGGTTTAAATCCCTGAAATTATCATCCTTAAACTGGGAAGACAGTTAAAATGACTGAACAGGGAAAGTGAGTAGGGATATCAGATTTTACAGAATTATTTAGGCTTCCCTAAATTTTATTTGAGTATTTTTACTTCAGTTCTTCCAGTGCATGTTGCTCAATCATACATCATGGCAAAGAAAGTGGATGGCCATTGAAGCAGTGATTAGACCATGATTATAATACTAGATAGTAAACACAACAGGCCACTTCCTGATGCAATATTATGCTTCCAAGGCACTGAGGAATCCCAGACTGGGTTAAAATTAAAAGGCAGTGATGTGACCTAAGTGTGTGCTTAAAGAATTTATAGAATGCTATGTGGAAGACTAATATTTCCTAGGCAGAAGATTGGCATTAACAGCTTAGCAGTTTAGTATGGGTAGAGGAAAGAAGGATTTTTTTTTTACAGGCTGAAGAAACTGATAATCTTCAGCTATCTACTGAATTAAAGGGCTAGATGGGAAGACAAGCCTCCAGTCCAAGATCTAGCTCACTGTCCTGAACAATTTGGGGATCATTATTTGCTTTATGACATTATATGTCCTACCTTACGCAAATGCTGGGTACAGTTTCCCCAAGAATGTCCTTTACTTCATTTACAGCCAGAAGGCAAAGAACAACACATTTTCTAAACAAACCAAATACATCCAGTTCAACCTATTATATGGCTAAGATTGGCAAGGGCACCTCCACGAACAGGACAAGACTGGATAGACAGTGGCACAGAAGAAAATGGTGTCAAATAAAAAGGAGAGGATTACAAACACACGAAATGTGCAGTGTCCACACTATAAGCGAGCTACATTTTTTTTCCTTGGATTCAGTCAGCCTAGATCCAGATATTTGAATACAAGTAGGGAAATTGTGCTGGTTTTGTCCATAAAGAAGAACAAAAGCCACGAGGGTCTGAAAGGCATACTTCCTTAGCATCAGAATTCAATCAGAAATGACTCAAGTGCTTTGATGCAGGATGGTCCTGCATCAAATGCAGGATTGTCCTGATGGCAATTCCTTCTAATCATAGTCAAGAGTGGTTTTGATGGAGGACACAATCCTGAAAATAAGTGACCTTCAGGAGTAGGATCCTTGCTCCTACTTGATCTTTTCTTTTGCAGAAAGTTTTGGTGTTCCTGAAACTCCTCTGCTGTACCACAACCAACTTCAAATTGAAATGAGACTTTGTTCACTCACAATCCATCAAGTCTTTCATTAACCACATTTGTATGATAAAGTAATTGGTGCAATCCTTAAAAAGAAGGGCAACTTGTCAGAATGACAAAAACACCCTGGCTAGTACTCCAGCAGGAGTCCTAATATGACTCAAAAGTTCCTCTCTAGAGCACACTTGCCATTAGAGCAGCATAAAGTCTTGTGGCAACTGATCCAGTCCTCAGACCTATAGATTTTCGCCTGGCTGATACTGGGGCTCTGTTGATGTGAAGTAATCCTCCAGGAAAGCTTGGAGGTATTCAAAGGTTGGCCTTTCCTCAGGATCCTTTCTCCAGCACTGGCACATCAGATCGTGTAGAGATTCTGGGCACTCTGGTGGACAGGGCATCCGATAGCCTCGTTCCACTTGATCTAGGACTTCCCGGTTCACCATGCCTATGATACAAAAAATGGGGAAAGATAGAGACAGAAGAAGAAGAAAGAGAGAGATTCTTAATGTATCTAGTACATAAGGGAAAATACTTGAAATTGTTCCTGGTTTCGTAATTTTGTTCTTTTTTATTTTGTTGGAATCAAATAGTATACTCTCCAATCGAAATATACACAGGCATTGCTAATTATGTGAGCTCTTTCCAATGGTATAAACATTTCAGTAATGATTACAGAGAAGCAATATGTTCCCCTTTATTGGGTGTGTCCAAGCTGAAACTAGACATTTGTCAAGAATGCTTCTATTTGTATTAAAGCCTTACCCTAAACAGGGCTTTACCCTAAACAGGCCCCTTCCAACTTTACGTTTCTATGATTCTTCTTAACTAATAAGCACAGAATTGGAAGTGCCAAGAAAGTCATCTTATCTAATTCTCTGCTCTATGCCAACACATCCAGAACAGATGGCTAGCCAGCCACTGCTTAAGTACTACTCAAGAAGAGCTTTCCTCAGAGATTACCATGGCACAATAATATTTTCTGAAGTAGACTTTGATTTTGCATTCAAAATCTAGGAAAACATTCTGTGAGTCACCAACTAATGATGCCTCCTAGTTTAAGAGATCACACTGGGTATCAAGAAGCAGCAGCAGCAGCAGCCATCTTCAACATCCCCTTACATAAGCTATCCACACACTCTGCTGAGTTCTGCTTCCTAAGTATTTTTACTGCTTAAAGAACAATGCAAGAATCCAAATTCTACAATTCCTTTCATTTGTTAAAACTGAGAAATATGTGCAGGCAGGGAATTGCAAAGTCTGTAGGTGGATAACATGGTAATCTTTGAACTGTGAGTTTCAGTTTCTGTCAAAATTGGCTTGTTGAATAAAGGGGAAGAACAACACACTGAAAAGTTACCCAAGAAAAGAAATCAAAATCTAATTAAAAGAGGGTGGATATTGACAAATACTTTAAAATATATGAAGTCAGCAACATCTTAGTATTTTAGTTAATGCAGAATAATGTATTACATTTAACCTTTCTAACTGACTCTGCTATATTTCTTTTAGAACAAACCCAGACATTGCAGAGGATGGGGATTTTTTCCCCCTCTCATGCCCTGGATACATCTTATAAATCAGAGCTTTGGTAAAAGCTGCCAAGAAGATTTTAAAGCAGTGTTTCTCAACCTTGACAATTTTAAGGCATATGGACTTCAACTCCCAGAATTCCACAGGAGTTGAAGTCCACATGCCTTAAAATTGTCAAGGTTGAGAAACACTGTTTTAAAGGTTCAAAAAAAAATGTTATGACACAGCTTCTGTCTCATTTTTCCATCTAAGGATCTAGAAAGCTGTGCTGTATCTTAAGAAGGAGGGCTTGCACTGTAGAACCTGAGTTTAAGCTTAGTAAGACTGGAAGTCAAGCTCAGAAGTTTCCTTTACGGACTAACATTCAAGAATGGCTTACGGGAAGGCATGACATCATGCCAGAATGAAAACCCTGAAGAACAATATTTCATTTCAGTTCAGAGACTTCCAGCTTGATTAGTTGTGCCATAGAGCCCTGACAAGGACATTCAGGGCTCTAGGTAGGCCAGATTGGCACTCTGACAAGTGTTTTGGCCTGGTAATAACCCATCCAGCATTGGGAGAGGTGAAGAGCTGGTGAGATGAGGTTTAATTGCCACTACCTGTTTTCAGATAGATTGGCCTTCATCACTTATGGTTAGTAGTAGGACCCCCCTTTCAAGGGGAAAGAAATGTAGTCTGAACCAATAGCTAAGTATGGCCAATCACACTCTAGCCTCCTCTTCCATGAATTATCTGGCTTTCTTCACAGTGTATTCCTTCATTAGATTTTTATCCCATGGAACTCATAGTAGATAGAAAGAGTTCCCTACAGCTGTTTTTGAAGCTCTTGGCACCTATATCAAAAGTGAACACACACTTACCGGGATACGGCACTCGACCTTTGGTGGCAAGTTCTGTCAAGAGTATTCCAAAGGACCAAACATCTGACTTGATAGTGAACCGACCATACAGAGCAGCTTCTGGGGCAGTCCATTTGATGGGAAATTTAGCACCTAAGCACGGAAACAGGAATGTACATAAAAAGATTGAAAACTCTTATTCAGGTGTCCTTGTCTAGGGACCACGAAAAGAGGGAACAAGTGGAGAGAATTACATTCACATGTGCTGCCATGTCTACCAACTACTTTTTATCATTCATCAGCTGTAAACAATGCAATAGTAATTTGAAACATACCTAAATAAATCTCTTACTACCATGTTTCTCTGAAAATAAGACTTGGTCATACTTTTTTTTTGCACCAAAAGATGCACAAGGGCTTATTTTTGGGGAAACATGGTATCAGGGTGATCAGCCCGGCTGGGCGCCCCACCCCCCAGCACGTGCACAAAAGGCAGCGAGCTCAGAGAAGCTGACAGTGTCTGGCAGCAGCCAGAGATCACTGGCCCCTTGGCGCAGCACAGGTAAATCCAAGCACGGAGGCAGAGGTGGGGGGGAGGCAGGCGATCCGGATGTGCTGCGCAACCGCCTGGCTCATGGGAGGCTTGCACAGCAGCACTGGCAGCAGATGGAGGGGAAGTAGGTAGTATCAGTAGGATGCAGGCATTCTCTTGCTCAGCATATACTGCCGTGTTTCTCCAAAAATAAGACCCACTCAGAAAATAAGTCCTAGCCTGAATTTTTAGTGTGTTCCTAATATAAGCCCTACCCCCCAAATAAGCCCAGGGGTGGGCGTGGCTAGCACAGGAGGTGGCGAGCACATGGGGGCTGATGGTGTGCCCATGTAGTGCAGGTAAGTCCAAGCGTGGAGGCAGAAGCAGGGTAGGGGAGGCAGATGATCCGGACGCACTGCGTGGTCATCTCACTTGCGGGAGATTCATCTCACTTGCGGGAGGCTTGCACAGTGGCACCGGCAACAGGCAGGGGCATGGGGGGAAGCAGGCAATCTGGATGTGCTGTGCAGCTGCCTGGCTCACGGGATGCTTGCGCAGCAGCACTGGCAACAGGTGGAGGCAGAGGCACAGGGAGAAGGCAGGCGATCTGGATGCGCTGCATAGCTGCCTGGCTTGTGGGAGGCTCACACGGTGGCATTGGCAGAGGGAGAAGGAAGGCGATCTGGACGTGCTGCACAGCAGTCTGACTCATGGGAAGCTCACACAGTGGCACCAGCAGCAGCAGAGGCAGAGACATGGGGGGAGAGGCAGGCGATCCCAATGGGCAGCATGACCGCCTGCCCGGCACGGCTGCGAGCAAGCCAAGAGATGGTGGAATGGAGTGGGTGGCGTGTTGGGATCGCTTGCCTCTCCCCATGCCTCTGCTTCCACCTGCTGGCGGTGCCACCGCACAAGCCTCCCACAAGCGAGACGACCGCGCAGCGCATCCGGATCGCCTGTCTACCTCCTGCCTCTGCCTCCACACTCGGATTTACCTGCGCTGCATGGACTGCTGCATACCATCAGCCCCCACATGCTCGCTGTCTCCTGTGATGGCCATGTCCACCCCATCCCCCCCGGGCTTATTTTTGGGGTAGGGCTTATATTAGGAACATGTAAAAAAATCGGGTTAGGGCTTATTTTCTGGGTGGGTCTTATCCTCAGGAAAACACGACAGTATCTGCTGAGCGAGAGAATGCCTGCATCCTACTGATACTACCTTCTTCCCTCTGAAGCAGCAATTCTTCAGAAGTTATTTTTTACCTAAACAGATTAAAGAGTGATCATACCTTGTCTTGCTGTGTATTCATTGTCCTCAATCAGTCGTGCCAGTCCAAAGTCAGCTACTTTGCACACCAGGTTCTCCCCCACAAGGATGTTGGCAGCTCGGAGATCTCTGTGAACGTAGTTCATCCTTTCCACGTAGGCCATGCCAGAAGCAATCTAACATCATTCCAAAGGCAAATTGAAGTCTAAGGCTCGAACTGTTATTAAAACAAGACGTCTAAAATGAGGAATTTCGTAATCAGTTTAGTTGTTCGGAATAAGTGAAGTGTGGTTCCCTTTAAGACCCAATGTCAGTAAACACATCATTTCAGAACATACTACCACTAGAATTTTATAGTTACATCCTGTGTCTGATGCATTATCAATTACTACTCCGACTGGTGGTAAAAAAAAAAAAATGACTGAGGCCTCTGCTGCAGAGTAAATAGCTTACTTAGAAACACTCAGAACTTCATGAGTGTTTGCAGAAGATACTTATTTAAGTCAGTTAAAGTTATATAACTACATTTACACAACAATAAAGCTTAATTAATGTTAATACTTCTTTGTGATTTGACCTGATGCACGAGCCCAAGCTATATGGTTAATCTGTAATTCAATATATTCTGCAAAATTTAAAAAAATGGATTAATTCAATAAGCAGGTTATATTATTTAAATGCAACCAACATACTGTATATTTTCCCCTGGCCTGACTCACTTCAAATTACAAGAAAAATCTTCAGATGTGAATGCATTTATTAAAATGGTTATATTTCATTTTATATAAATAAATCTTAGATAAGATGCAATCAATTAAAACTACACAAAACAACAACAACATAAGTCCAGCAAATCCAGTGTATTAAAACTCCTATCACTGAGATCCCAAAAGCTTGGAGAAACAGTAATTTTTCCTTGATATACATGCTGGTGCCATTCTAATTAGGTGTAGTGGTGGTGGTATTGTTTGAACAGAAAAGTCTCAGTCTTTCTCTTTATATCCACACAATCCATTGCAATGAGACGGCAGCAAACAAATTTAATAACTAAATAAAAGTAATGTATTACTTCTCATAGTGGGAGACAAAGAAAAACTCTTGCTAACAGTAGATGTTAATGTTCAGGCAGCTGTTCACAAGGGGGGTCCCAAATATGGTGATTTCCAAGCAGAGTGCTCTATATTTTTATTCACATATTTGTGGATGAGGTCCTCATGTCCATATTCAAATAGAAAGAACACAGGAAACAGTAGATTGCTTTCTATACCAGTTCAGGACCTACCTCCCAAATGCTGAGTCGTGATATAGATGTGAAAAAGAGGCACTAAGTTATCTGCAGCAAAGTCTTTTATACTCACCTGTGCAGCCATATCCACCAGCTGGGGCAGTCTCAGATACTTGCCCATCTCTCCCTTCAAAAAATCCAGGAGGCTCCCTACAGTAGAATAGAAAGTTGTCAGGAATTCAAATAGGGGGAAATCACGAAACCATTAAACTTTCTAAAACTCTTCATTATTATCACTTAGCCACACACATAAATTGGGGTGTAATTTTCTACTCCTTGAGTTTTATTGTGACATGTTAAGCAAGAACTGAATCGTAAACTACCTATGTGATAAGCAATCACACAGTTCCTTCAGTGCTTGTTAAGCAGTGTATGAATTCATTCAGCCCCAAATTACAACACTACATCTTTAGTTGTGTAAATGCATTTTTAGCAGTCAGCTTCATGTTTCACATGCTATTGTATCCAGTGACACAGAAATTATAAATATAGTTAGGCAAACATATATTTTCCTTCCAGTTTCAGATGTCTCCTCTGTCTGTGTTTTCCCTATTTCTCAACCTTCCTCTTCTTTCGTATAGCTCTTTATCCTTCTTGTCTATCATCGTGTACATTCGTGGAAACGTGTACATGAGACAATGTTACATTTAACCGAGAAGACTTTGGTGTCGTATGTCGACGTGGTCGAAAAGTACCGCGTCAAAGAAGTATTGGACTCGGAGGACATCTTTACGAAGACCTCTGTAACAGGGTCCCTTTAGAGTCTTGATTGCCACCCTGGTGGTACCATTCCAGGTCCCTGGAGAAGAAACAGAATTAGCTTTCTCAACAAGAAGCATGACTTGTATAAGCTTAGTTTGTCAGGTACCAATCTCTTCAGATATTAAAACATGTAAGTTACCAGATTTGGGGTCTGCTGATACTACATTCATTGTTATATACAGTTACATACAAAAGAGTTGTGATGGTGCAGTGGTTAGAATGCAGTACTGCAGACTAACTCACTGCTCACTCCAGGAGTTCGATTCTGAGCAGCTCAAGGTTGACTTAGCCTTCCGCAGTTGGTAAAATAAAGACCCAGATTGTTGAGGGCAATATGCTGACTCTGTAAACTGCTTAGAGAAGGTTGTAAAGCACTATGAAGTGGTACATATGGTAAGTCTAAGTGCTATTGCTATTGTACATCCAAGTACAGATAAAGAATTGGTACAGGATACAATTGCTGTCAAAAGCAATGATCCTTGTGAATTTGGTGCACAAATGTTTCACTTCCAAAACCTCCATGCTGTCCTCTTATAAATTCACAATTTCAGAAAGAACTAGAGTCAAAATGTAACAGTCAGAAACGAAGGCCAAGCTAATTTTAAAATATGTATCCCTGTCCTAAGAAATTGGAAGGTAGAGTTCTAATTCCTCCTGCAGTTCTGTGATATAAATAGAAATGCAAAAACAGTCCTCCAATCAGGTATCAAACATGCTCAACCGTCTTTAATTAAAATGATTAAGAGATCCTCTTGGATCAGTTTCCTCAGAAATTTTATATTAAGGCTCTCAAGATAACAGAATGCTCAGGTCATCCACATTGAACCATCTTGGAACTAGACTTTCTATATCATGTCTGAGAACATTCATAATATTAATACTCTATGCAAATTGAAAGGTATTAGTATTTAGTAGATGGCCAATATCTGTTTGAGATGTGGAGTTTGGTCCCACTATCCTTGTCATTATCTTCATTTCCATTGATTTCAATGAGTCTGCTCAAAGAACTACATTTGAAAACTTCCCACAATCTTGTATATTTGATAGTTATGTGTTTGAATACTCTTGTTTATTTGTTCATTGCTTTATTGGCTTTGCATGCCACTCAGTCACTGAAGTAACTCTAAGCATCTTACATGTTAGGATTAAAATAGACATTGAATAATGAAATAGAAAACAGCAGTAATGCATAGTTAGTACAAGATCCCACATTCTTTGGTGCAAGTTCACCAGCTGATATCATACTATTAAAACAGCTGTTATAACTGACTTTACATCTTTTGCTATAGCAAGTCATAAAACAATGCAGCTGATTTCTTAGCAAATCAACAATCACCTCCCAAGTCATAGGACAGTCAAAAGTGAAAAGCTTGCTCTAAGTATTTTTCCATGCCTGAAAATACATTTTCAGAAATGCACTGTTCATCAGATAAAATAATCATTTCTTGGACATTCTTACCCATCCAGACTTCTCCAAAGCAGCCTTGTCCAAGTTTGACCTCTAGTCGCAAAGATTCCCGAGGGATTTCCCAAGCATCTTTTGCCAAGCCCTGTGTCTGAGGCTTGCTGGTTGGGCAAACATTGGTAAGACGGTGGCACAAACCATCTGCATGTTCTATGAAAGAATAACATCAATTACAGAACATAAGAACACCTGTTTATTTTAGACCAGCCTGAATCTCCATTTTAAGTTTTCATTACTTGACTGGAATTATAATATTTACTCTACTTCATGTTTCAATATAAGGTATTTGGCAAACAAATGAGCCCCAGTTCAGAGCAGTTTAGGTACCTCTGATTGAATATCTCCTACAGGTTGTCCTCATAACCACAGTTGGAACCAGCAGCTTGGCCATTAAATGAAGCGGTTGTGAAACATCAAAACGTTATGATCTTATTTCAATTTTCCTTTGCTTTACTGACTGAAGACTGGTCACTGTTGTAACTGTAAAGTCTCTAAATAAGGCCGTCACTAAATGAGGACTATTAATATGGTGGTGTAGTCATTACTCTACTTGCAAACTTTTGAGTTATGAAATAAACCTGTCTGTAACTCTTGGAAGTTGGGCAAAGGTACACCATAACTAACTCTTTCTGCCTTCTTCTGATTTCTGCTCGCATACTGGTCGCTGATTCTCATGTATACTGTTCATCGTTTAGTTGTGTAGTGCAGGGCTTTTCAACCTGTGGTACGGGTACCACCTGTGGTACATTGGCACCTGGCAGGTGGTACGCGAGCATCCTAGAAAAGTGGTAGCAGGGGAGAGGAATGAGCTGAACCAGTGGCAGCACCGCACAAGCCTGAGTGAGAGACGGCTGGAGCTGCAGGGCTGTCAGGGCTCAGCGGAAGCGCCAGGATCAGCGCCAGGCTCCAGCTGGAAAGCAGCACTGATCCTGGTGCTTCTGCTGAGCCCAGAAGAAGCGCCGATCAGCTGGAATGTTGCAGCCTCTCCAGGGTCTTGTGATTTACATTCAGATGCTTGGCAACTGATTCACATTTATGACGGTCACAGTGTCCCAGGGTCATGTGAAGTGACCAAAACCTGCTGCAACCACCCAGCAGACGGGGGGAATAAAAACTAAACACCCCCCACCCCACCCCCGCTGCCAATCCTCAACAGAAATGTTCACAACAATGAAAACCTCGGACAGGAGGAAGAGCGCCGCCGGGTGGGCAGGCAGGTGTCTTGCTCGGCTGTGGCTTGGGGGGCACTTTTTTCAGTGCCATTGTAACTTCCAACAGTCACTAAGTGAACTGTTGTAAGTCGAGGACTACCTGTACTTTATCACTTTTTTCCTTTTTTTTTTTTTTGGTCAAGTTTTTGACCTCTTGCTAGGTGACTGGTGGTACTCGGATGTTGCCCTATGCTAAAAGTGGCACAATGGGTGAAAAGGTTGAAAAGCCCTGGTGTAGTGACTATGTGTGGGGTCTATTGTAGTGATTGTGAATGTTTGGAATTAAGTGCAAGAGTGATTTTTATGTTTGTTTGGATTTATGAATAAAGCAGACTTATGAACAGCATCTTGGAACGTAGCCTGTTTGTCAGCAGAGGAATGTCTATACATTGAATATATAGTATTCAGTGTATCACTGTATTACAAAATGTATGCTTTATTTTCTTTTCAAGAGTGATGAACAGAAATCTCACATTGTTTGCAGTGACAGTTCAAAGGTAGAAAAGCCATACATAGTCAGGCATTAGAACAATTAAATTTGGATCCAACAATGCAATCTTTCATTGTTCATTTCATATTTAATACTTGATTATTTGATGGGATGTCTTTCAAATATACTCCCAACATATTCACTCTTTTCCTCATTCTGAGGTATCATGTACAGAGATCTTTGCAGAGAACCCAGCCCTCATTAGAAGCTGAAATGACACTTACTGGAATAATAAGCAACTAATTGCTGAAGACTGCTGAATTGTGTACGGGATGTGATATAAAAGCCACCATTATCCAGTTTGCGTATCTTGTAGTGCTTCACATTGAGGCCCTTGGCATTGTCAAAATCTGAGACAGAGAGGCAGTAGGCACCTGTAAAGAAAAAGTGAGAGCTATTTAAGCCTACAATCTTATAGATAATTTGCAATCAATATTTATTAGGACTGATTAACCCAAGATGACAAGACTATATTTTGAGTCTAAGTATGTGTGCATTTCCTTCCTCCCTTCTTTCCTTCCTTCCTTCTCCAAATAACTGAATGCTTCATATCAAAGCACACATGCAATTAGGTCATATGTTTTATGTACATTACATGTCTCTCTACAATGCAAGCTGCTGATTCTACTTCACAATGGTATTTTAGAATAGGGAAAATACGGAATGCAAATCTGTCAAAGCAGAATGTCTTGATCCCACTTATATAAAAGCAAATACTGATGCTACAGTCACCAGGATAGCAGCTTCACAGCAGGTTTAAGATCTGGGGAAGGGGAATGCAGAAGGGACATATTTGAAGAAAGCAACCAAGAAACCCAGGCTGCTCTAATTATGGCCTGCAGATGAATCAGTCTTCATTCTGATCCTGTCAAACCTCACCAGCTAATTTGTATGGGGTTCACACAGGAGGCCTTGATGGCAGGTCTTTGCTACAACTCTTAAGCAGAAAAATCTATAGGGAAAACCGCATTCTCCTTTGCTGTTAGTTCAATGCTCCAATTAAATGGAGAAAGTGCTGCTCTATTAATATCTCTAAGGTATCAGTTTTAGGGTACTACACAAAAATCAGGATTCCAAAATGTTTTCAAAACATATAATTCTGAATTAGATCCTTGTTTCCTCTATGACACATGTCTTCACCCCAAACCCAAAATCTGGCCATGGGCAACACTTTGACCACAATTAATACAATTAAGATACAATCTAAACGATTAACATGAAAATGTTTAGAAACTCTTGTAAAGGTCTCAGAAATTATTAGGAAAACAGATTTCTAACATTGCTGTTTTAGCATTTATGAAGAATTTTTTAAAAATGGCCCAAATCTTTTTATTCATGTCACACTCACACTCATGGTCTATGACCTCTTTTATAAATGGATGTTTAATCTTATTATTTTGAATAATTTTCATTGGGAATTTGCCTAACAAAATTGGATTAAAACCAGACTAAGTTAGACATGTTTTATTTTTATCTATGTGACAAATCACTTATGGATAACTTTGAGTCCTATGTCTAGCATGTCTGGATCCAACTCACTGTAAATGAATAATGGCAGGCAAATGAATGGTCTGAATATGCTATGTTGTACGATCTCTTGTGCCAAGTCAACGTCAGTTACAAACAATACTTGACTTTAAAATATACTCAGACCAAAAGCTGAGATTCCCAGCAGTCTGAAATTTGTGCCACTTTTATTATTTTTCTCTGAATATGCATGACATGCATGCAAACTTTGAAATTTTAGCTTGTTTCACTATTTTAAAAAATGCAATATATGGATAATGCTAAATCAACTCTGTGCTTGTGCAGATTTTCTGGTTGGTACATGTACATTGTTTGTTGCTGTTCTTTTACTCACAAATACAAACTCTACACCTGTTCCATAAATGTAACAAACAACAGCTCCTTGGCAGGATAGAAAGAGAAACCAGAGTTTCCTGTTGCTATTAGTTACCCAGCTATTTCCCCATCCAGTGACCTAGTTTCTACAGTATGTTGTGTTTTTTTTTTTTAAAAAAGAGAAGTACAGGACTGAAGTCTCTGTTTACATTTAAATCCCATCCAGTTCTCCACCCTTCACACCAGTATACAAGAGGGAGATGGAGAGGATGCAGTCCCCTTGACAGAACCAAATGTATGTACTGTATAGATAGAATGGACAAGCAGGGACAATAAGTATGCTATTAACATAAGAGACGGCATACCTCGTGTGATTATTGCTTGCCATTATACTGTATATCAGGCAAGAAAAAAGACCCTTGGAGAGGCAATACATGTTCCAAGACCCCAAGTCTGAAATCTTCCTCTACTCTACTACTGCCTACTTTTAAAAGCAAGTTTAACCATTATTTACATGGTTGCAATAGTTTATCATTCTTAAATTAAGGTATCCCATATTAACTACTGCAGATAATTGCTTTTCATTGCCTCAGTCAAATGGCATCAATAGAAACCTAACAGAGGACCCATTCATGGGGTTCCTTTGCCTCATACTTCAAGGCTTGTTCAATTCTAGTTACTGCAGTCTGAAAATATGTAAAATACCCCATTTTATATTTTCTGCTTTGAAATAGCAGGAAGTTCTGGGAGTTGCAAAATGTGTAATGTAAACACAGGCATTAACACAGGTCTTAAAAGACAAAGAATACAAGTTCTTCCTCATCTCTAGAAAACAACAGAAAACTGCGAGCCCCCCAGTGTGTATGATGTCGACACATCCATGCTTGCATTTAAAATGTTAATTACAGCCCATGACCACTGAGAAATTGCCAATATTTAAGGTGAATGAGAGACAATCCCCAGTTTGAATATAGTGGAGGGTAGGTGAAGAGTGTGGTTTAACCATTAGAAGTTTGGGAAACATCCTTCTACGGGCAGAGAGAGAATTCTATTGTCTCCATTGAAATGGAAGACTGAGTTTCTCATACATTCTCCCCCTAAGCATCCTTTTCTTTTCCAGTGTTTATTACCTTTTGTAGTCTCACTCTCTCTTGCCAGAAAAGTCCCTCGGGGATTCTCTGGATTGAGCAGTAATCGTTCAGATTCTCGGCGGGTTATCTTTCCAAAATACCATCTGCAATAATAGAATATAAATAAATGTACGGTAGCAAGATCCCATCTTCATTTAAATCACTGCAAACATTTCTGCAGACAGAGGAATCCAATATTTTCTCCTATAAATATATAGCCTCCAAAGGTTAAAGGTCATGCCAAAATAATTTTAGTCTACAGGAAAGAATGCTAATATTTTTCAGTTGCATTCTAGATAGCAAAAATATAGATTGACAATTATTAAAAACCTCATTAGATTTCAGCACCTTCAAAATATTGCATCATCCGAAAGCAAGATTTACAACAATGTGAGGTTTTGAGAATTTACACATTTTAAATTACTTTAATGTGGAAGAATATTAAATGCTATTTTGGGATGGGTAAAGCATTTTGGAATGGGTTAACATCACTGCATTTCTAGAGCTCACATTGCCAAAGTTTGTAAGATTCTAAAATATCAGAATTCAAGCAGGAGATAGCATGTAAACATTGAACTGGCCCCTCTCATGAAATAGTCTTATTCTTGAAAAGTTGATGCATTAGGGATCCTTTTTTGACATATTAGGAATCCTTTTCTTGAATATATTGATGTTCCAGTTTCACAGTTTTTCAAATATGTTTTAATCTGATCTAATCATTTTGTACTTTGCACATTAAACTCTAAACCATCCAGTTGGTGTCAGAAGCATTAAATGAAAAAGCAGTAAACACCAAGATGCTATAAAATATAATAACCTCCATAGAAGTAGCTATCCTGCTACGCTGAAATCAACCGTTCATAAATACAGACAGATGAAAGGCAATAATAATGCAAAATCAATACTGACTATCTCACTGATACAAAATGCTGTGATGATGGCCATTGATTTAGATGACTATAAAAAGAAACTAAATCAATTTATTATGCCTATCAGCAGGTAATTTTCTCTTTAGGCAGCATGCCACTAAATGCTGAGGCAACACAATTCCTTTGAAAGAAGGGTTTCATAATGCAAAGAAGCACATATGAAGATCTCTTTTGAAATCATTAAAGCAATGACGTCTTCTTTCAGACTCATATATCTCCTTTGGAAGCTACCTCCAGTTGTCAAGTATTGTTGAAAAGTCTGGGATTCCTCCAGCTCAGTATTCTAGATTCTCCCTATAAAAACGTTAGTAATAAAATAAAAATAAAGCATAATTTTCCAGAATCTCTTTAATCTTAGACTTGAAGGAATAGACCAATTATGTATATCAGTTCCCCCTAGCTTGTAAAAGTTTCCTAAATATGCCTGCTAATTTGCTATTTATTTTCAAAGCTGATCTAACAATGTCAGCTTGGAATTCTCCTTCCCATCATAAATAAGATTAGCAATATCATTCTTGATATTGAGAAAGTTGTTGAAAATATGGTTTTAAAGAAATGAGTACAGAATATACCTGAGATGGAGCATGGCTTAAGCTATCTGATAAATTTGCATCTATCAGCACCTTAGTAAATGCCCAAAAAAATGCCAAGCTTCTTGATTGTTGCTATATTCTTTTATTTTTGAAGTAAATCTAAATGTGGGAACTCATTCTCTTGAAACACAACGTGTTTTCTGCAACTAAAAGTTCTTCCTACCCTCCATAAACACACCATTTGACACTAAAAGTTATCTAGAGAATATACATATTTGTGAACTAGCCCAAAGTCACATACTCAGGAACTCTGTTTAAGAGAATTACAAAATGATTTGAGGGTTGCCCTCAAACGGTTATAACTAGAATGATTTTGTCTGATAAAAGGCTTAACATAATTCTTTTCAGTCTATTTATAATATTTTAATTACTCTTCTGCTTGGATGGAATCTGAAGGTGCGACGTAGTTACTGGGGATGTAACCTTTCTGGCCAGTTGTGAGAGAGTGAGCCAGCCACCAATCTCCTTCCCTGGAAAACACAAAGCAAAATAATACATCAGTGAGAACAAATTAGTCAAATTACTTTCTCCATCCATCATTATTACCAGTTTTCCCCAAAGATTTTGCTTCCGTTCCTCCTGCCCATTGGCTTAGGTCAAATCTCTATTTGGGGGCACATTCTGTATTACATGTTGGCCAGAAAACTTCATGAAAACTAAGACTTCCAGCAGTATTTTCAGGTGTCCTCTGGGGGACTAATTCTAGAATTTTCAACCAGCACGACCTTTGGCTGGGATTCTAGGAATTGCAATCCCAATATATCTCAAAAGTAGCACATTGTTAAGAGAAGAAGAAAGAAAAGCTCCCTAACAGTCTTGGTTCTTTTCTTACAATAGATCAACAGTGCTCTTTTGAATTTCTAGAAAAGGAGATATGACAAAATTTGGCAGAAGTATTTATGGAGATAGCCGAAGCAAAATGATTTTCTACATTCACTGTGTTCCAGATTTGCTGGGAGGCAATTCAGGTTTGCAACGTGAAGCCAAACACATTCCTATTCATGAAATAGGAATTTATTTTTTAAAATTCTTTTTGAAATAAGGCAGAGATTGTGGTTTAGCTATCCATTCAATTTTATACATCTTCAAACAATACCACACAGTTCTTCGTGCCATAAATGGATTATAATAACCTTTTTCATCTATGCTTTGAGCCATATTCATATTTAAATATGCATTGCAGTCATATAAAAATTAATTTGGATGGAATGATGGGTAAGAATACGCAGAATTGACACAGACAGAATAGAAACAGAAAGGAACACCCACTGCCTATTTTGCAGGATGCCCATTGGCCATCCTGGCTTAGGAAATGAGAAAATGACAATGAAATATAAATCAGCCCATTCAAACACTGTTTTTCAGATAGGGTAAATGGATGCCTGGTCTAAGTAACAAAGCTCATGGAAGAAATGCATTATTATTATTATGGTAGGTCACACAGTCAGCCAGATGTTTAGACTAGATTTGGCATTTGGTATTTGATTAGTCTAGTTAAGTGACAACGCAAGGTCCTTTTAAATAAGGTGTTTCCTTACTTAAAAGGGAAGGGTCGACACCCTGTTGAAAATACCTTTGCAGCCCTTTGAATTTGAACCAGATCTGGTTGCTGAAGGAAGCATTGGAAGTCCGTGAAAGCGGAGGTAGGATCAGGAAGGAAATAGGCATACAAACATAAGAAGAAACATTGTGATAATAAAAAGGGCAGGCACAGCCAACGCAAAGTTTAAATGCGCAACATCTTAAAGCAGTGGCCAATGATTGGGCCACTTGCACAGCTTGGGAATTACTGTATTCCTACTCATTTGGAGAGTGTCAGGTGGAGAGAGAGGCTGCCATGGAATAGCATTAAGAACTTAATATTAAAACTCATTTGTGCTTTTGAAAAAAGATGAGAAAGAAGCTGGGGAGAAACCTATAGATAGTCCTCAACTTATGATCACAATTGAGCTCAAAATTTATGTTGCTGAGCGAGACAGTTGTTAAGCATGTTTTGCCCCATCTTATGACCTTTCTTGCCCCAGTTGCCACAGTATCACTGCAGTTGTTAAGTTAGTTACATGGTTGTTAACGGAATCTGGCTTCCCCATTGACTTTGCTTGCCAGAAGGCCGCAAAAGGTGATCACATGACCCCGGGACACAGCAACCCTCATAAATGTGAACCAGTTGCCAAGCATCTCAGTTTTGATCACGTGATCATGAGGAGACTACAAATGTTGCAAGTGTGAAAAATGGTCATAAATCACTTTTTTCAATGCCGCTGTAACTTCCAACAATGTCTCACTCTAAACGAACTGTTGTAAGTTGAGGACTACCTATATGCTGGAGAAAAGAAAATAAGCAGGCGTACCCAGAAACCATACAAACAAATGCCTCTAGATGGGATAAACTAAAAAGATCGGCCTTCCTTAGTCTGGGCCCCTTCTGGTGTGCTGACTAGAGAATCCGAGGAGTCAAAGTTCACACACAAAGGCTGGGAAGGCTGATAACAAAACAGAGAAGGCAATCTGCTCCACCGAACCAACTTGTGTTGGTAGCAGATTAACACAACGATGCAGTCTTCCACAATACTATTTGTTAAGCAGAAAAGAAATACGAAATTAATTCATTTTACGTATTTCAAGGTTGATTTCATAAGGCATTCAATTAAGACCATTAAGAGATGGGGAGCTAGTTGTGAGATCATGTACGGGTAGTCCTCAGCTTACGACCACAATTGAACTCAACATTTCCATTGCTAAACAAGATAGTTGTTAAGTGAGTTGTGCTCCATTTTATGACATTTTTGGCCACAGTTGTCAAGTGATTCACTGCAGTTGTTAAGTGAATCATGTGGCTGTTAAGTGAATCTGATTTCCCCCATTGACTTTGCTTGTCGGAAGCCAGCTGGGAAGGTTACAAATGGTGACCCCATGACCTTGGGACTGCTGCAACAGTTGTAAGTGTGAAAAACAGTCATAATTTATTTTTTTCGGTGTCGTTGTAACTTCAAACTAAGTCAAGAACTACCTGTATTCCTTTCCTCTTGATTATTATAGGGTTCTAATGAAGGAAAATATTTGTAGCTCAGGGTTGACATGAAGGCTCCTTGGTGCTCTCCGAGCTTGGTTGTTTTCTTGCAGACATTTCATTACCCTAACTAGGTAACATCATCAGTGCTAGTAAGGAGTGCTGTTTGCTGTCAGTTTAATGAGCCCAAAATAGAAAGAGACTCCAACACCTTCCCACCAATAATCAGCATTCAGTTCAGCATAGATTAACTCCAAGGTCACCTTCAGACTAACCATCAAGTAAGTAATACTCCAATCAAGAAACTGCCAAACAGCCATTAGTAACCAAAGAATTCCTAAGGCCGCTCCCCACCCACACAGGGAGACAAGAATATAAACAGCACTCCTTATTAGCACTGATGATGTTACCTAGTTAGGGTAATGAAATGTCTGCAAGAAAACAAGCAAGCTCAGAGAGCATCAAGGACCCCTTATTATAGGGTTTAAATTTGTCAACTTTATTTGCTTATTACTATGTTTCGTTGGGCTTTATTTTGATTATTCCTGGGTTCTTGTTGTATAACCTCAGAAAAATAGTGATTACTTAGCAGACTAAATGCAGGAGTTATCAATATCTGCACTATTAACAGTTCATACCATCCCTTAAGGCGTAACATGGTTTTCACACATGGAACTAAATTTCATTTTTGATGTGTGCCATTGTGCCCACAGTAAAAAAATGACAATAAAGGTTATCTTATCTTATCTTATCTTATCTTATCTTAATCTTAATCTTACCTTACTTTACCTTATAGAAACAGGTTAACAAATTTAGATTAGGAAAGTGCTTAAAGGCCACTTCTCACTACTAGTAAAAGTGTCACATTAAAATAAAAATGCAATGCATCTTAGGAAGCATTAGGGTAAAACCAAAAAACTGCAAATTTCTTGGCCTTCAGATGAGCACAGCAAAATCCTAATAGAAGAATTCAGTATCTGATTTGTACTACAGACCCAGTAAAAGCAGAGCAAAATGAGAATAAAGATCCAGACAAGCTTCAGCCACAACCTGCAAAAGATGAGATGCTGTGGGATAAGCCAGCTATGCTTCCAAGAGTGAACTAGGTCAAAAGTGAGGACTCCAAGACTTCATTCTGCTCCTGGCTCTGTGTGACCCAGCCAACAAGCATTCACAGAACGTCCAGGTGGCTTGGAATGGCCTTATCATGCAGAATCGCTCCGAGACAGCCACTAGCATAAAGGAAGTCTTACAAATATTCAGTCTAATCCTCCACAAATCCCTGGGAACCAGAACATTGGCTTCTAAATTCAAATTTATCTGAGGTTTCCAAACGCTTGGGAGGTTTACTGTCTAAATCTGTGTTAATCCACCCAGTTTTGCTCTTAAAAAATGTTCTAGGAAGAATTACAGAATTTTTTAGAGATATTTTTTGCATGTTTCCCCCTAGTGTTCTTATGGTGCAAGCTAAATAGCAGCTGGAAAATGTGTACCAAATGTTGCTTACACTGAGCATACAATTTTTATATGCAGGTGCTATATGGTTATTATGATATTTCAAATCAAACTTAGCATTATATTGGGGTCAACAATTAACTCTTAACAGGGACTTCCGGTGGCAGGCGACTTCGTCGGTCGCAGCTGTTTGCTGCCTCCCGCCTGTTTCGCGTAAAAGCCGGTTTGACAGCCAGCACCAGCTGTCAAACGGCTTGATACCTTTCCCCTGGGTATAAGGGGATAGGTGAGCTGCCCGGGGTAGGAGTTGAGTTCCCGAGTCGTCCTATATGGACGATGTAGGTGAGA